TTTATAAATTATTTACTGTGCTGTAAATTGTATTATTTTACCCAACGCAACATAAGGTCATTTCACATGATGGAAATGCCTTTTGCCTTGCATAACATAAATGGATTTTATTCGTTATAGTACTGAGTTTAATTTAATTTGATGTTAAAATATGTTCTCTAATCTCAGTACTGTTTGTTTATGGGCAGGTTTTGGAGTCAGTCATGGCATCTTTCAGCTATGAGTGAAACGCGAGGCCGCGGTCTAAAGTTTGCAGTCCTTCAACCGGCTCAGATTTCGGCAACGCATCAGCATGAGAATTAGCACTATTTCGGTAAAAAGTGATTACAGAGAACAGTTGAATACACTTAAATTAAAATGCTACTTTTAAATGTTACATTTTTATGTCTAAAATGCTTCTTAAATGAGTTTAAATGTATGTAATATTGTAAAATATGTAAAAATAAATGTTCATCTTTTGATTATTGCTGTTGCCTCTAGTAATTCTGTGTTTTTTTTGTGTGTTTTTTTTTATTCCCAGTCCATTTTAAGCCAGCAATATACTAATATACTAATACTTAAACAATAGATGACTTAAATAACCCAGCATGTTTGGTAAAAACATTTAACCCAACTAGCTGGGTCAAAATAACCCAGCATGTGTTCTGTCCAATATTTACCCAGCTCTGGGTTGCCAAATAACCCAAGTTGGGTTGTTTTTAACCCAGCATTTTTTAGAGTGTATGTGCATTATTTTTAGATGCAATAGAGCACTAACCTTTTAGCGCCACTCACCGGACATTTCATTTCCAAACTGCTGCAATACAGACAATCAACATTGCCAGATTCATGTCCATCTGTTTTGGATCAAATTAAACATGCTTTTAGTGCCACTCACTGAACATTTCATTTTTGAAAGTGTCGAAAAACGGATGTTTTTGAAAATCAACGTAATATCAGTAGCAGAAATGGCACCACAGGCACGCTCTTCCAGTGAGCGTGGTTTTGGTGAGATTTCTCATTTGATAGATTTTAAGGAGACTGCTCTCAAAAACATTTAAATGAGCCAGTCTAATTACAGGCACAGTCACAATTGTCCCTCAGTTTGGCCCAAGAATGTCAGATTTCTCACTTCCATCTGCTGTCACGTTCACAGCCATGAGTCCACGCTCATGCCTACCACGGACCCTGAATCAGCACCCATATCTGCTACAGATGAGGTCATGTCCATCTCAAACCAAACTTGTGTACTATCAGCACCCAAGCTGTTCACATCTACTCAGACTCCCTGCCTCAAACCAGAAGATTCCCTTTTTCTGCAGCCTCTCCAGAGTTCTCAGTTATGCCAAGTTATGCGTTCCTAGTCGTAAGCCATGTTTATTAAGATGTGTTTTGGTCAATCGGATTATAACCAGACCAGGGAGACATGTTCCCATTTACACCTGCAGTTTTAATCGGTCTCTTTTGTGCACTTTTGACCACTTTTCTGATTTTCTTTCTGAGGGGAGAGTCTATGGTCGGGTGTATGTATGGACTTTTTCCTGATCTTTCAAACTAATATTGCAGAATATGCTTGTGCAGTTTACATATGTACACTAAACAGAACAACAGAAAACGATAGAGACAGCAACAGCTTTCGCTTCTTCTCTGATGGCCGCAAAACTACACCGAACGCTGTGGCTTTGTGTTAGAATCAGGACTGGTAAGACAGCATTGTACTTTTTACATTTTTGACCATCAAACCAACCTTACAATTTCAGTCGGCAAAGTTTAAATCCCACCTGGCCAGTGTGCTTCAACAACATGTCCTAATGTTTACACTCAGTAGGCAGAGAGGATGTGGTCTTTTGTGGCTGCTCTAACACATTCAACAACATGAGCGTTTCCACTACGAAAGCAATCCGGTCGAATGCGTTTTTGACTACCTCTGGACATAGTCAAAAGTGGACAAGCTCAAAACATTTCAGACCCCATTTCCACCTGTACTGTATTTAGCATTGTCCACTTGTGATTGGATTGACTACAACGCATCTTAAAGAGCTCCTATTATGCTTTTTCAGCTTTAGTTAATGTGTAATGTTGCTGTTTGGGCATTAAAAAGGTCTGCAAGGTTACAAAGCTCAAAGTTCACTCTAAAAGGAGATATTCAAGAAATCCAACAAACGGCTTGTTCGGACTACAGCACGCTTCTTCCAGATTTTTCTTCCAGAGTCTCTCATTTAAATAATTCTCACCAACAGTATACAGTAAAAAGGGGGCGTGGCCTGGGTGAGCTGCACTAGAGAAGACGAAAAAGAGCAGCTGCTTTAGTAGCGTGTTGTCGCTATGTCGCGGTTATGATAAGGGCGTGACATTTCTGCAACACGTTCTAAGTGGTTTGCCGATCACAACACACTGGATCAGCTAACCAATCAGAGCACATTTCGCGTTTCAGAAGTAGGGGTTTCATCGAAACAGGAAGTAGATATTTATGAAGGATATTTATGAAGATCAATTGCAGCCTCACAAGGCAAATGTATTTCAGTTCAAAAACTTGATGTAATACAAAGGCTTTCGACATTTGTACATTTACATAATTGCTAAGGAAAAACAGACATTGTGTATGTGTAAGTCAACTCTCATTTCGTGAATAGTGCGTTTTTGTGCATTTCCTTTCGCCTGACCCAAACATACATAAGTTTCAAATGCCACTGGCTCAATTAGCATTAACATAGTAATAATAGCAATGTAGATCTTAGTTGCATTTTAAGAGATATTATAAATCCTGTAAACATTTATAAAAGGTAATATTCTGGTTTCTCCAGCTCTCTGCACTGGCGTTTAACGAGACCGGAAGTGTCTATGCCCACACTCGCTAGACCGCAAATCCAACATGGCCGCTATATGCAACAAGCCAACAGGACCCCTTTAAAACCAGGTGTAAACAGGGCCATATACACCACTCATGTCCCAAGTGATGTCACGGCTGCCAGTCCAGAGTCCACTGAGTTCTGTTTCCCAGGCTGCATTTGAGTTCCCTGAGGTTGGTTATGTCCCTGGGTTACATGTCACGAGTCTTGTCCCAGGTCAAAGTGAGGGCAACCCTGCAGTCTGCTATAGACCGTGTTCAAGTCACTGGTGCTACAGTTCCTGCCTCCAATGCCTGCCACATCCACCCATTCTCATGTCCACCCTTGCTTCTTTATCAGCCACACCAAGCCTTGCTCCCAAATGCATCTCTCCTGCCCATGCACTCTTGCCAGTTAGTTTTGAACAATGGCTTGTCACAGGCACCGCCGGTTCTGCATGTCAAATCATGTCACTGTAATTGATACCCCAGCCCATCTGCTTGTGTTTGCAATCACAGACTCAGTTTCTACAGTCAGTGTGGATCACTATCCAGCACCACCACAACGTCACAATCCAAGTCCACCCCAGTCCCTGAATCCCTGGTCCACTTTAGCATCATGCCCGATTGCAACAAACCCAGATCACAGCTGTCATCATCCACCAGCCTTAAGCCATCATTGAGATTGTGTTTTTTAAAGCTTAGGATGTAATGCAATGTTTTAGCCATAAGAAATCCACCCCTACACTTTCAAAATGGTACTAACATGTACCATTAAAGTACTAATACACTTCTTTTAGGTACTAATATGTATGCTTAATGTACTAACGCACTCTTTAGGGGTAAATAAGGTACAAACGCGTATCTTTTAAAAAGGTACCGTCCCAGTGACAGCTTTTGCACCTTTTTTCCTGAGAGTTTAGGGAATAACTGTTTTGTTGATTTATGCTGTCATGCTTGTGTTCTTGTCTATAGTTGTAATATTTGTTATGTCTTTACTTTAAAGTTCTGTTCTTTGGTGTTGAACTGTGTGTCTTGTCATTGGTTAACTATAGCCTCAATTAGTCCTTAGGTCTTGTGGATTAATCTAGTCTTGTTATTGGACATGAACTCATCCAATCCATGACAAAGAACTGCATACACGCATAAAGGGTCCGCATTTCTTTGTGTGCTGGATGAATTCACATTCATTCTTGAACATGAATTCATCCAGCACACAAAGAAATGCACATTTCCCACATTTTCACGTCAAGGTCAGATATACAGATAATTCAGATAATTTGGTATTGGAAGAACAAGAAATGTTTGCATTTGTATAGAATTGTCTGTCTTTTAAATACTTGGCAAATATGACAAAGGAGACACAGAGGATTATTTTCTCTTTTTTAGAATAATAACCTGAGAAGCTGAATATCTCCACATGCTTTCAATTAATCTCATTGTGTTCATTTCATTTTGGATAGATTAACCTTGATCTGGTCACTTAATTTGTGTAAATAAATATTTTTAATATACACTCTAAAAAATGCTGGGTTAAATACAACCCAGTGCTGGGTAAAATAGGGACAAACCCAGCAATTGGGCTGTTTTGACCCAGCGGTTGGGTTACTACCCAGAAGGTTGGGTTAAACATTTAACCCAACCGCTGGGTCAAAACAGCCCAATTGCTGGGTTTGTCCCTATTTTACCCAGCACTGGGTTGAATTTAACCCAGCATTTTTTAGAGTGTAGTTTTAATGTAGTAACTGTGTCTTTGTAGAGGTTCGCAGACTCATTTTTGCATTTCTTACAATATTTAGCTAAAGCTATCACAAGTGGTTTTGACTATGAACTATGATTTATTAAACTGTTGCGCCCCAGAATGAGTGTCTACCACAAAGTCTTCCTTTTTTTTAATGGTAGAAACGCAAACCACTTTGCTGAGGGCTGAATGCCATAAGAGTCTAGATAAGCCTAGAAAAATCACGTGTGTCTTTTAATACAGAACTAGATGCCAGTAGATGATTTTTGTAACTTTTTTTCTTTCTGGCTTTTACTAAATGTGTCCGAAATGTTTCCACAAAACAACTGACAGCAAAAAGGCAGGTCACTTCAGTCAAAAGACAAAACACAACCATCAAACAAGTCAATAAATCGGTGATAATTGCATGCAATTTTGAATTGTATTATTCGCAAAAGGCTTATGAAAGGATATGGCCACTCTATAATCCTCTTTGCATATTTTCTTATGATATTATTCTCAGCGAAGATAAAGAGAGACCTGTTGACGGTGAGACAGTTGTGTTTGGCTGGGATGGGGTTGTACAAAGCCATGGTCCGAGCCCGTTTAATCTCCCCGGCGGACTCGCTCTCTGCCTTCCCCTCAGCGCTCACCTCCTTAGGCATGTCTTCAGACTGAGCCATGTCTCAAGATCTGGAAGAATCAATCCCAGCTTTCATAGACGATCCCAGCTTTACTCCATTCTTCTAACGGCAAGCCAGCTTGAAGAATATCTCACGAGGTTTGCTCAGTCCCGCCTGTTGCGCTCCGTAAAGAAACTTTTTGTGATTAAAAAATAATAAAAAAAATGTTTTAAAAAATACAGTCCTGTTTATCAGAAGGCTGCATGTCTTTTTCGAAGCCTTGCATCCTTTTCTTGGAAGTGTTCTGCCATGTTTCTCTTGACAAAGATCATGAAATCCTTTTCAAATGTCCAAAAATGACACTTCTAAATCTTAGGCTATCAAATGTGAAATTCTGGCAAAACCTAGCCCATTTTTCTCGACGCGCAGATGAACAGTGTAATGGAGTGTGGTTTGTAATACCTGTTACACTGGGACTGTGCTCTATAACAGTGAATGTGGTCTTTTACCATCACATATTGCCTCATCTCTCGCACTCACCCGCCCCCATTTCTCTCTCTCTCGCTCTTTCTCTCTCTCTCTCTCTCTGCCCCAATGCTCCCCCTCCCACACACACACACACACACACACACACACACACACACACACACGCGCTATGGGAAATCAAGACATAAGAAAACTGGTTACCATGGAAATGTATTTTACATTTTATAATGTGATTGTGAGAGTGGCTTATCATTTAGTTTGTCAGATGACAGATTTGTAGCACAGTTAAGGCGTCTGTACTCAGTTAGTGCAAACCTCAACAACGAATATATATTATATTGAACATTTGTTCATCGGTGAGTTACAATAATTCATCAGCGAGTTACTAAAAAACTAAATTATCGCCTGTATAAAATGAGAAACACCTTGTAATTAGAATTGTATCTTTATAAAAGGTACAGTCCCTTAAAGTTGAAATGTTGCTGACACACCAGCATCTAATAAATGCTGAACAGTATGCATAAATAAATATGGAAAATATATGTTTATTTTTACTCATCTTACCCTGGAACAGCTGTAAGTGTCACAGTAGCTCCACAGTGATCACATGATTTAAACAGGCTACAAAAATGTAGGTTAAATTCAGGAATTTGGCAATATTAGCTTTTGCACAGCTTGTACTTTTCCAGTGTCTTACATATTCAAACTGTGTCAGCCGTCCCGGAAAGTCTAAGCTTGAATTTGTCTAAATGCCTTCCTCCCATTTAAACACTGATGAATCTGGCAATATTTATATTCAGCGCTGGGTAGTAACTAATGATTACATGTAATCTGGATTATTTAATCATATTCCAAAAAACTAGTATCTTAGATTATGTTACATTTTAAATTGCTCATAATCAGATAACAGTTATTGTTTATGGATTGCATGATTGCAAATTATTCACACAATGGCAGTAAATTATTCATTATTTATCGATTCCCCCTAATTCTTCTTTTTTCTCTTTTATATGTTTTTATTTCTAAAAAATTGTACTGTGTCATATTGTTTAGCTTTGAATAGAACACGTGCATGTCATGTAAAGTAATTTGGAATTTGGAGACAAAAGCACCTCTCATGTACGAGACGATTCAGACGAATAATTATTAAAGTTACTGCTGATATATAACTGAAACAAATATGTAAAACCTAGAAGACTTTGACCACGTCATTGCTGTTTTCACGTTTATTAATGTTTGTTCATGTAAGTTTTTTGTCAGTCAAACTCCTTTGACCTAAAATAGTTTTTATTTCAAATTTAATATTTCAACCATTTATCAAATTTGCATGTTTATGGTTCTCTGATATCGGTTAATGGCCACATGCAGGTAAACAAATAAAGTATTTCAGATGTGATTTAATTTATTCATTTTACATTTTTATGATTTTATTAATTACTAGATTTTCATCAACTCATAAAACTCCTTTTTTTTATTTACCCTAGTTTGGAAAACCCTGAGTTGATATAGTATCTATTGAATTCCATAAGGTTGATAACAAGTTCTCTCTTTAATAACAATAATCCCATTCAAATCTATCAACAGGTTTGGTCAAAAGTAATCAGAACACATTACCTAAAATGAGCAATCTAGATTATATTTCTGATTACAATTTGTATAAACACATGTAATCAGTAACAGACTACAATTTGTAAGTAATCTACCCAGCACTGTTTGTATTTGTATTGCATTAGTGACAGCCTGCAGACTAAGCTTTAATTTCAGAACTACTGAACTATATTTAAATCATGAACTAAATACCTGCTACTTATTGATATGGCTGTTTAATAATCAGCATGTATTACTTCTGGTGTTTTTCTCCTGCAAGTCTCTTATTGTGGTATCACAAATGTCTTCTCAATACAAAATGAACTGCAAGGAGCTGCTTTATTGGCCAACTTCACAAAAATATGCGTTTGGCTGCATGAAACTGCGATATATCTACAGCATTGACACTTACTGGCAGATTTCTCAGTGTTTCAAACAAGAAACCATAATCAGAGTGTGAACTTTAATTGTGATGCAGATAACAGGTCTAAAGCTAAGGGTTTTTAGTTTTAGTTTAGGTGAGAAATGGTGAAAAAGCTGCAAGTGTATCCTGTAACTGACTACTGATGGGTTGAAGAGCTCCTCCTCACATTTTGCTCTCGATCATGTTCAGTTCGCTCAAACATCATGTGGGTCTATGGTTTATAAGAGTTAGTTTCCTCTGAGTCATCACCGAAGACTTTCAAAAGATTTTCAAGACTGACCTTGCTTTGGCAAGGAGCCCCTGAACATTTCTCTCCTACACCACGTTTTCCAGAAGCTGTGTCACGCGTAGGCTATCCAATTATTTTCCATCGTTCCTATAGACACAAGCAGAAGAGAACAACTAAACTGTGATGAAAAGGGCCCATAATAACAGCTATGCTCACAAATACAGATAAAATTCACAATCAAATGTTTGCCCGACATATTTTGGAGAGCGTTGCAACACAAGGTGAGATGGAAAATTATATCATATATGTCTATCATCCTTTTGTGAAGCTGTATGTTTATGTAAAATAAAATATAAGTGATTTACAGGTTATAAGTGATCAGGTTAATGCGTTTTCATGACATAACTGGTATCATCTGAATCAGCAGATTCTCAAAGTGAGATTGTATTGTGAAGCAAGTGTGAAAGTGACTAACATGCACACACACACACACACACACACTCACACACACACTCATACCCACGCACACACCCACATGCAATTTTACTTTCTCAAAAAAACTCATTCTGTATGATTTATAAGCTTGTTTCCTCATGGGGACCTCAAAAATGTCCCCACAAGGTCAAAATTTACTGGTATTACTATACTTGTGGGGACATTTGGTCCCCATAACGTGATGAATACCAGGTGCACACATACACACACAGACACAAACACACACACACACAGTCTTTTTTTATTTGATTGATATAATGTTTTAGATGAATATTACTGAACAAGAAAAATACAGTCAGCAACATACTTTAATGCCCAAAGTGTTAAGACACTAATGTAGTCACAACACTGACTTAAAGCCTACTAATTCATATAATAATAATCATCATTTGCATACATTTCAGGTTAACTTACAATAATTTAATTGATAATTATTCTGTTGCCATAGAAACACAGTTCAGGATTAGCTTCATCTGTTAGTTCATAAGGCATCTTCTTTGATGTGCTTTCTCTTTATGTGCTTACAGTACATCACCGCTTACAATTTGTTCACATTCTGTTCATTTTTATTTTCCTTTGCGTATCGCAGGGGAACATACCGTAACAGAGGAAACACAGGAAACAATAATATTAATATAGAAAATAATGCATATTAAAATCATCATGATGAATAATAAAACATCATGCATAATAATATCAAATATGAGATATCAGCTGCAGCACTTTAAAAAAAACATAGAAGGCTCACAGTGTTAACAGCTTTAGAATTTAAGCGACAATAGTTTGGAAATACTGACACTTTAATGCATTTGAACAGAATTCTGTCATTCTGCTCACTTTTATTAATTTATTCACTGTACGAAAAGTCAGCCCAATGAATCATGTTAATATGAAGGAATTTTCTGTATTGATTTTGTAAAAGGTGTTTTACCCATATTTTGAATTATGCATTACATTGTGTTTTAGGGTTGAAGGAAATGACTTAATGGAAAATGTGCTAGAATTTTTTTTTTTTTTTTTGTCAGGACATTATGCATTTTTTCTAGAGATTTGTTTCTTTCTCAGAGTGATGTTTTATTGAAGGCACTATTGTAGGAGCTGTTATATTATACACAATTCTAGTGCTCACAAGAATCTGAAAATAAGATTTATGCACAGTCAAAAGACACATTTGCTCCACAAATCGCCCCAGTATTCACAATTTACCTCTCATCTCTGGCATTTTTTGGATACATATTTTGGATTAAGTAACAGAAACTGTTGCAGTAAAAGTATTCTGCATCTTCCTCCTTTTATATTTTTAATGAATGGCCTTTGACCCCAATAACATCTTATCGCAAGTACCACATTTTCCAATTTTTAACAGTATATTTGATTTTATTGTGAACGTTCATCACATAACACACCAAATATTAACATTCATATGTTATTGGATGATCTGCAGTGCACATTGACAAACTATTCAGGGAAGTGTTGCGGTGGGTTTTGTTGCTATTTTCGGAGATAATCGACAGGCTTTAGCCTTATTGTATTCTGAGTTGCGCTCTCTTTTACAGCATCTCTAGCATGCTGTCATTTACCACACACAATTATTTTGACTCATCCCTCAGTTCGTAAAAACATCTATTAGCACTTTTTTAATAGAGACAATCTTCATCCACAGGAATTATATCAGTGAACCAGTTCATCCACATAGAAAAATAGTCACACATTAACTTTACAGATACATTAACTTTACAGATTAAATAATGAACATTTTTACATTTATACTTTTTTTATAGACTTGCTTTAGTTTGGTCTTTCAGAGGCTTCCTCACATGCTGAGCGACAGGTACAGTACACACCGATGACCCACTTATCCAGTTTCAGATGAAACGTGCAATTTAACGCGCATGTGCTGTGCTATTAACAGAGACATTCAAGCAAAAAATCACTAATACTAATACAAAAATATACTAATGTCTAGTATGATTACAAAACAAAACAACAGTACAATCCATTGAACACACTGTACTTCAGTCTCTATATAGCCTCAGTTTCATCTGTGTCAAAAAAAACAAACATACAACATTAAATGTCAAACATAAATTGTCATAAAAAAAAAACATAAAAAAAATACTTTTTCATTGCATGCATGG